TATACGGATCATAAGCCGTTGATTCATTTATTCCGGAAGGATAACAAGGAGTTGATGATGTCGCCGAGGTTGCAGAGGTGGTTATTGATGGTGGGTAGTTTTGACATGGAGATGAGATATCGTAGAGGCCGAGAAAATTATTTGCCGGACATAATGTCGAGATGCGGAGCAGGGGAGGATGTGGAAGAAGGTAGTACAGAGGAGATGTGTAAGAAGGAGGTAGCGATGGTCATGGTGGTATCGAGAATGTTGAAGGGAGGTCCGGTAACGTGGGAGGAGATTCGGAAAGAGACGCAAAAAGATAGGGATTTGAGTCGAATAAAAGAATGTATAATGGGCCGGAAGCCGTGGAAAGAAGGAGATAGAGCTTATAAAAATGTTGGAGGAGAATTGACGGTGATGGACGAATGTGTAGTCCGGGGAAATAGGGCAGTGATACCTGGGAAGTTGAGAGGAATGGTTTTAACAATGTTGCATGCAGGTCATCAGGGAATGGAGCGTATGAAACAATGGGGACGAGAATATGTATGGTGGCCGAGGATGAATGTGGAGATTGAGGAACTAGCAAGACAATGTGTAGTATGCAATACTTGGGCCAGGATGCCAGCAAGAGATAGAGAAGGGACTTGGCCGAAAACAGCGGAGCCGTGGGAGAGGGTTCATGTCGATTTCTTCGAGTACGAAAAAAAGGATTATTTTCTAGTGGTTGATGCATTTTCTAAATGGGTGGAGTTTGAAGTTGTAGGAGGGTTGACAACGCAAGTAGTGGTCAGAAAATTGAAGAATTTGTGGGCAAAGTTTGGAGTGGCTAAATCAATCGTGTCTGACGGTGGACCAGCGTTTAGTAGTGCAGAGTTTGCGAAATTTTGCAAAGAAAATAGGATACGGCATATTTTATCTCCTCCATACCACCCAAGCTCCAATGGGCAGGCAGAGCGGATGGTGGGGTTGGTGAAAGATTGGTTACGAAAGGCAAAGTATGGGAAGGGAGAAGTATGGACGTCGGTGATGTATTATAATAATAGTAGGAGGGGAGAGGATTTGTCTCCAGCAGAGAAGTTTTTAGGGCGCAGAACGAGGATTGGGTTAGATGCTCTGAGGCCAGAGTCTGAGGGTCCGAGGAGAGAACGGGAGGAGGAGGGACTAGCAAAGTTTATGGTGGGACAGTCGGTGTGGGCGAGGGTATATGGTGAAAAGGAGAAATGGCGAGCCGGAGTTGTGATGGAAAGGGTGGGAAAAAAGTTAAGTCGGGTCCGTTTTCAGGATGGTAAGGTTGGTGTAAGACATGAAGATCAGATACGCAGAGGAACGGAAGCGGGGCGAAAGTGACAGGGGCAAGAGGTCAACGAGAGGTCCGAAGTTCAAAAAAATATATATAGGTCAAGGTCACGGGGGTGGTGTAGGTGGTCGTTCCGGAAGGCGGAAGGGAAAGGGGAAGTATGATATAAAGAGGGGTATATATATATATAAGGTGGGAATATAAGTCAAAGTATGATCGAGTCAAATTGTAAAGAAAAATTATAATGTATCAGAGTAAAATAGTAAAAGGAAAATTGTTTTTTTTTGAATTTTTTTTTGTGTGAAATTTGGTGGAGCTGAAATAAATATTAGAGAAATGTTTAAAAAATGTTGAATTAAATAAATTAAGGAGAAATAAATTATTAAAAAAAAAAAATATTTTTTTGGAAGTTTAGGTTAAATAAAATAATGTAAAGGGAAAAGGGTTTTGAAAGTGTATATTAAGTAAAATAAATTTTCGAAATATATTTGGTGGAATAAACCGGTAACGAAGAAGGAATAAGCGGCGGAATAATATTGAAGCGAAAATAGTTGAAGGTTCTTGTGGTAAACGGAGGGGCGGAGGCAGGAATAGAATGGGTATGAATAATGGGAATAGGTGGATGGGATGATGTAATAAAGAGAAGTATTGAGAAAAATAAAAATTAATTTTAAAAAAAAAAAACAAAAAGTAATGGTAAAAAAAAAAATTAATAACGGGGTTAGGGTTGAGTGATTTGTATTATAATGTTTTTTATATTATAATGTTAATAACGGGGTTAGGGTTGAGTGATTTGTATTATAATGTTTTTTATATTATAATGTTGTATTTTGTTGGCAGGGAAGAGTGAATTAAAAGGAAAAAATAATAATAATAATAATAATATGTTAATAAAGAGAGTAATGGTTGTTTGTTGTTTTTAATTTTTCTTAAGAGAAAAATAGTAGGAGTTAAGGTTAAATGATAAAAAATATAATAAATAAAAGTTTTTCTGTTAACGAAAATAGAGAGAGAAAGAGAAAAAAAAATAGAGTTAGGAAGATGGGGTATTGAAATATAAAGGAAATGATTTACGAGTAAGAGAGTGTTGAGAATAGGAAAATTTTGAATAAGTAAGAGAAGAAGAAAACATAAAATTCATAATTTTATTCGGTAGAGGAAAATATCATTTTATTCGGTATGCCGATTGTTAATAAGTAAGTCGTTATATATATATATGCAAGGAGAGTGATGAGGAAAGGGGAGGGAAGAAAAGGGGGAAAGCAAAGAAAAAAAAAAAAATAGTAATATGAGAAGGTAAATAATTATGTGATATAGATATGTAGACCTGGGTACTCATTTGATGCGAAATACGATAATTAGTGCGGATATGGAACCGCTTGCTAGTGAATGGAGGGCTTTAGCCCAGGAAGGCACGAGATCAATGGAGGGGAGAAGACCATCACCATCAGAGCACTCAAGGGAAACGGTACGTGAAGAAAGAGACAGGGTGATATGTTATGGTTGTGGAATGGCGGGACATATCCGCCGGTGGTGTCCCAAGGAACGGTTTGATACTATGGGAGGGCGAACCTGGAAGGAGTCGGAGCCAACGTCCGCATCTTCCGATAACAGAGCAATACAATCAGATCAACGAATGGCGTCGGACACGCCAGTGTTACGGGTAGGAGAAGATGAGTATAGGCAGTTGTTGGGGCCAACGAGGTCCGATAAAGGGGGGAAATGTCATAAATGAGTGACATATTTGATGATATTTATTGCGTGAACATTAATAAATAAAATTGTGCAGGTTCATTATTAGACCGTATTTTAATATTTTGTTTTATTTTATTTTTAGATATCGAAATTAAGTTTTGTTAAATCATAATGAGATTGTATTTTATGCGCTTCCCTATAAAAGGGAAGCGAAATATTATAAAATGATTATTAACTATTTTATTTTTGTTTTTAATATATTTTTTTTTTTGGTTGTAATAGTAAATTTTGAAATAAAATTATTCATTTTTTTGTGTGGGAAATTCAATAAAATTATTATACTCGGAGTCTTGCTTTCTATTCGGACTTATACGGCACAACGTGATACATATAACTTAAACAATAATTCGGAAGAAAGAATGTAAAAGTTAATATTTTTTTTATAAAAATATTCATCATAATTTATACATTTTTGGAAAATAGCATTTATATATAAAAAAGAGTGAACCAAAAATGCTTTTTGAAAAATGGAATATAAGATAAGTCTTAAGACAAAAGTGAAATGTAATAAAATTTTTAATAATAGATCCATAAAATTACTAAATAATATAATATATCAAATATAATTTTTTATATAGTGAGTAATTTTATTTTATTTATTAAAAGTAAAATATAATTATAAAACTATTAATAAAATTAAATTATAAAATAAATTTAAAAAATTAAAGGACAATACAAACAGTGTAATATTTTATGTCTTAGATTTACAGTATATCTAATTTTATCAATTATCATATGACAATCAACTAATTTTTACTAATCTAGCCAATTATATATTTTAAAACTATAAAATATTGATAAGGACATCAGAAAATATCTTTTAAAGACATTGTGAAATAAATAATATGAAAATTAATTTTAAATATTCTTTTTAAAATAAGATGGCGTTCAATAATTGAATGCAAAATGTTGCATTATTTATTATCAAGAGCATTGATTAGTAAAATTTGTTAAAATATTAACTGTAATATATTCTCAAATTGTAAAATATGTCTGTAAAGTGGAATTTTACCTAGTATTTTGTAACTAATTCTATATAATAGAGGAATATCGTCTATATGCCAACTTACATTTTCTAAATAAATTTCTTATACTTGTTTGGAATAAATTAATACCATGCATTTATATTAATGTATATACAAGTAATTTATTGTATTTTATATAAACTAATAACATATTTGTTCTCCCAAACGGGAGTCTGGGGGCGAAGCCCCCAGTAATTTTATAATTCCTCCCCCCCCTTAGGAAAATTCTGGCTACGCCTTTGAGTAGAAAGTTTTATTTGGAAAGTAATTCTATGATTGTTTGCAATATATAGATTTGGTCGATGAATTAGTGTAAATACCGTCATTAATTATTAGTGAATATTTTATTTTATTATCGTTATTACAGCCCTCCCCTCTTTTACGCATGTGTCAGATTTTACAGCAAATTTTGTCCTATTTAATCTCAAAATTTAATAGATAACCCCCAAAATGTTCCTACCCCCATTAAAGCCGTCTACCCCCTATCCCCCTCAAAAAAATAGGATGCAATGTTCCTACCCCCTCCGCTTATGTAGGCGCTGATGCTTTCCAAAATCTACTATTTCTCACAGTAACAAAAAAAATTTACGAAAAGAATAATATTTTTTTAAAAATATAAATAATAGATTATTCTACAAATCGTATTAATAGATAGCTTAGCAGCAAAGTCCAAACAACGTTAGTTATGTTAAAATACTTAAATTATATAATTGTGTGTAGTGTTGTTAAAAAGTCCGAATTGTGTCGATTTTATACAGCTGGATTATATTTAATTAAACTTTTATAAGAAAATAAATAAAATATATAAAAAATCTACGTTTTTATTCATTTCTCCAATTAGGTCTTGATCATTAAAAAATAATTATAATTACATATATTTCGAATATATTGCCGAATCCTTTTAAATCTATTTTCCTCTGTACTCAAAATTAAAAATTTATTCCTGTTAAAGAAGCCATTTAAAAAGTCATGTCGAAATTCACTTCTATACTTGCAAGAACATTTTTACAATGTCGTCCTATGACAAATGTCTCTACTAAAAATATGAATATGCTATCATTAATGAAATCCAATAGCAATCCTATAAATCGTTTAGCTATTCTCTCTATTAGTGATTTTAACAAGAGACATAAAAGTAGTGCTACATCATCTCTTGCCGATAAAGAGCTGGCTACCTTTCTTCAAGATGAAATAGAAAATGAAACAAAATCAATGGAGACTAAGGCTACTTCCCCAACATTTGAAGGCTTTAATACTGAATTAAAGGATGCTAAAGTTATATTGACCAAAAAATCTGGAAAAGAATCTTTCAAAGTTATTTTTAATGTAAATAATTCACTAGATAATAATTCAGAGGAAGAATATTCTGAACAAAAAAATGTATCTGACAATAAATCAAATGAAGATGTTGAGTTAGGCTCTCCAATCTCAAAACCCACCTATACAATAGAGCTAGAAAAAAATGGTCAGATAATGGCTTTTTATTGCTCTTTTGCAGAAGAGGGGTCTTATGAAGATGGCAACCAATCTTCTCCAGATTCTGCTGGTTATTCAGATCTATATAGAATAGATGAAATATCAATATATCAAAATGAATATACAGATGATAGTTATTCAGTAACTTGTGATCTTTTAGATGAACAAATGTATGAAAAATTGTTTAACATGCTTGAAGACAGGGGTCTTGGAAATGAGTTTGCTAGTAAATTGGCTGAATTCAGTACAGCTTATGAACATAAATTGTATGTTAATTTGCTGTCAAAAATCAAGAATTTTATTTCATCTTAATGTAAAATCAAAGTATATACTATGTAAATAATTAACAAAATAAAATTTTATAAATTTATATTGTACGAACTGATTTATTTGACATTGTTATAAACTTGTTTACATATTAAATATAATGTCCAAATCGTAATCATAGGTAGAAATAATACATTAAAAAATTATAATTAATTAATTAATAAGTAGCATGGTATGCCAGATATTATTTCACAATTTTTTGATCTATTTTGTCTTTAACAGACACCCAAATTGATAGCAAGGCAGATGTTATATAAGGGTTTATAAACATTGTAATGTGAGGAATGATGTTATTTGGATAAAGCCTAAGATTAGCGTAATTAGGATATATTGGGATAGTGTTTGGTAAGGCAGTGTTTAAAATTTCCCATCCCAAATTTTCTTTTGTGAACAAATTTTTTTCTGGATTCTTCCTAAACACTTTAAAATATTAAAATAATTTTTTTTATCATTAAGAAATAATTTCAATGTTTTACTATTAGCGGATTGATAAAATTTAGTTAATAAACTAAGATATATATTAGCTTAGATACCTTGGTTAGCTTGTTAAACACATTAGGTATTGTGGCATTTGTTAATTATATTTAAAATGCATCTATTCCTATAAAAAATCTCTCATACAGATCACATTAGTTTAAAAAAATGTTTGATATAAAATACAATGATTTACTATGAGTGGATTGATAAAATTAAGTTTAATAAACTAAGATACATATTAATCAATTAGCTATTATTATAGTTTTAGCTTTTTAAATACATTAGGTATTGTTGCCTTTAGTGATCTGCATTGGGCCTAATTTTTCAAGCCCAGCTCGGCCCCAAAATTTTTTTAAAAAAGTTTTGCCGGCATGGCTCAAACTTGTATTTCATTTTAAAAAAATTTACGGGGCAGACCCGGCCTGAATTTATTTAAATATAGAAATTAATTTTTATAATTACTTAAAATAAAAGACATATGTTATATAGCTATTAGTTTCAATAAATTAAAGTAAATTTTTTTTATTTTACATATAAAATTGATAAATTTTGATATATTTAATAAAATTTCCAAAGTCCGTTCAGGTCGGTACTAACTTTGTGGATCTCTAGTGTTGCTTTTGTTAATTATATTTAAAATGCATCTATTCCAATAAATCTCACTGATATAACATTATTTTTAAAAAATGTTTGATGCAATAAATTGAAAAATGATGCAATTTATATGTATATTTTTTTTATAGCTAGTAGAGTATATATATGTCTATATTATATAATATAAATATATATATAAACATTACATACAAGGTGCATAAACAGGAGTTTGCTGTAAGGGAAAGGTAGGGGGGGGGGGTGATAATAAAATTTATAAAAATTATTCTAGGAGTCATTTAAGAATAACTTAAGTTCCATAAATATTTTTAAAACTAATGACTAGTGTTGCTGAAATGCTAAATTTGATCCGATTTCCAAAAACGGTGAACTCACTATTTTATCCAGAAAAAATATGATGCATTCCTGAAGATTATGCTCTGGTACAAACAAAGGTTTGGACATTTATTAGCTAAATTTCAAGATTTAGGCAACATTTTTATGGCTAAAATCTTGAGTTAGCCAATACACGAATCATAAATCTATTTTTAAAAAAAATATTTTGTTCGTATATAATTGACACCTGAATTTGAAATAAATGTCTCGAAAAAGGGGGACATTGTAAAAAAAGAAGGATAAACTTTTTAATTAAGCATATAAAAAATTTGATATATAATTAATATTGGAAATATAAATTAATGCGCAAAAAATATTCTTAAGAATTATGGCATCCAATTTTTCAAAAATGGCTAAACTCAGTAGCTTAACCAGAAAATCATTGCCCAAACCACGTGATTTGGCTAATGGGTGTTCAAGCCCTTGCCATCTATGAACAAATCCTTCCGGCTTACGTAAATATTTTTTCTGGATTAAAATGCCGTTTAAACAACACTATACTAAAAATAATTTTAAAAAAAAATTCAAAATTCTTGGGATTGAGCTGGGTTGTGCAATGATTTAGCAGTGCTTGGTGTTCCATGTATATATTAAGAAGGGCTAACACCTACCTAAACTCTGTAGAACTTCTTATAGGTAGGTAAAAGGCTGTAGTACTTCTTATAGTAATGTCGGTAAGGGGCTCGATTTGAGGCGATTTAAAAAAAAAAGGCTTACTTCAATATTTTACCCAGAAAAATATTATGCTAAGCTGAAGATTTTGATCTTATATGGTACAAAGAATTGGACACATTTTAGCGAAATCTCGGTGCTTAGGGAATATTTTTCTGGCCAAAATATTGACTAATTAATGCCTTTAGAAAAGCTTCCATTTAAAAAATCATATTTCTGAGACTTAGATCCAATCCCATTTACGCTTAAAATATGAAGGGCCAGATCGGTTAGATCGAAATCTAGACTCGGGTCATTTAAAGTGTCGGGTTAGGATTTAAACTTTTCGAAAATAATCAGGATGGACCATGAGTTAGAAAATATCTTCTTTTTTGATTCCATGGAGTTTTTTTTTTGAGAATGCTTAAAATATGATTCAAGGATGAAAACTTGAAAAAACTCTCATAAATAAATCTTTACGATCTTTCTAGAAAATATTTGAAGATATTATTTATTTATTTTTGGAAACTAGTTAAAACGAAATGGATTAGGAAAAACGCAGTTAGTATATGTAATTTTTTATTTTACCTAACAAGTTCATAAAAAACCGGGTGCAATGTAATTTATATATTTTCAATTAAAACAGGCGCGAATTCGGTTCTAAAATAAAAATCCGGGCCGGGTTCGAATCTAAGATAAAAATCCGGGCCGGGTTCAAGTCTAAGATAAAAATCCGGGGCCGGGCTCGATTCCCGGGCTTAAAATAAAATAAATTTGCGGTGCTTTAAAGTGTAGCATCACTTTTTAAATTTAATATTAATATATATATTTATTTAATTTCATTTTTTATAAAAATTTAATGCGTATTATTATATAAAACTTTTAGTTAAAATAAATATTTTAAAAAAAAATAGGCAATTATATAAAAAAAAAAAACTAAATAAAAATTTAAAAAAGAACACATAAAATAAGTGCGAAAAAATTTTAGCGTTTCAAAACGCAAATATTTTTAAACCCATTCGTTTAAATTGGACAACATTTTTTTTTTCAAAAAAATTTTCGGGCTCGACCCGAATTTTTAAAAAATAGATATTATTTTATTTTTGTTTTTTATAGCTAAAAATGGCGATTTCAAATATTTGGTCGTTAAATATACGGCCTAACCCGGCCCGGCCTTGCTCGGCTCGGCTCGGCTCGGCTCGGCTCGGCTCGGATATTTAAAAAAAAATTTCAGGCCCTGCTCGGCCCGGGTATAACGGGCCGGGCTTAGGGTCGGGTCTGCAGGTGATATATATATATTGTGTAATCATTTAATATGCTATGCTACAAGGATAATTTTAATCCCGCGGACCCAAGGTTACTTATTAGTTTGGGGGAATTTCCTTGATACTGACTCTGTACTTCTTTTATCGAGCATAAACAAAGACCTTCTCCGCAGATGAGATCAATAAAAACCAACAAAGATATTAGTTTATCTAGTTCATACCTAGTGTTGTTAAACGGCTCGTTGATTTTTTAAATGGCCATCTCACTACTTCATCCAAGGAAAAATTTTCCCCAAGCCCTGAAGATTTCTGCTCTTAGAAGGAATAAAGGTCTAGACATTATATTATCGACATCTTGAAAATTAGGACACTATTTTTCTGGCTATAATATGTCAGTTTACAAAACGAGCGGTGTAACTACACTATCCTTGCCTTTTGGTCCCTATCATCGTGTTTACTTTTACTTTTGGTTAAGAAAGCTCTATAAACTAAATAAGGAAGATTGGTAAGCGCAAAGAAAGTGGCAAAAATTTTATAAATTTTAAATAATATTTTTTTTAAAGCTCAAACCCACCCCGACCCAATTTTTATTTCATTTTTTTTTTGGGTGCAAGCCCTGCTGAAGTCAGGGTCCTGGTCTGACTATCAGGGCTCTGATACAGATATCAAACTTGAAGTGGGGCTAGTTCCCCTACTTCTACGACTATGCCTAAATTTATTTTTTTTTAAATAGGAATGATTAATTTTAAAAATAAAAGGTTTTACTCGTAGGGTTGAGTTGATGTGCTAGCGTTATTATATTGTTCATCAGCATCGAAACGTAAAAATCGGACATGGTAATGTTGGGGCCTGGCAACACACGATGACTTTCAGAAGGCGCAATATTTTTGTTATCGCATTTCAAATGTTGCCGGTTGTGAACAGATCCAATATCAGGAATAGGAATACTTTGCTTTTGATTAATCTTACTATCATGGACATTCCGATAGTTCGTAACTGAACCGTTGGCTTTGGACGAGTTTTCCTTTCTCGTGCAATTGTTATTACGCGAAGTGAGTGGCAATACATTATGGTTCGAAGGGTTTATACAGTGTTTACTAATTATGGCACAGTTTAGAATACTCATGGATGAACATGGTTGGATAGCGTCGTTTTTGGGAAATGACGATTGAGTTGAATACGAAATGTTTCGATTATTCGGGGTGATATCATTGGGTTCCGCGAAATCGAGGTCGGAATCTTCTAGCAATTTCTTACACATTATTTCGAAATTACTGTCCCCTTGATCGCATTTCAAGTCGGCGATACTGCTTCTACGAAATTGGTTAATGCAGCAAGGCTCAGACTTATATATTTCAGATAATTTTTCGTTCATAGCACCCTCGTAGGATGAACGAGAAAGGGCAGTAACTGATGGAAAGTGCAATATGGAAGGCCATAAATCTGTATCCGGCTTAATTTTTTCATAGTCGCCAAATTTCACCCTGTCAAGACTTTCATTGGACACGTGATTGTTCGGAGATGCATCCTTTGCAAAATTTTTGTCCTTGGTGGGGGTAAAAATATCGGGGCTAGATTGAGATCTCGCCTTGGAATTGGACAAAGGGGAACGTCTACGATTTCCAATCCATTCTTCGTCAAATACCGTCTTATTAGAGTTCACCAACGTATTATCTAGATTACGGTTAAATTTAGCAAAATGATCGTTTACCGAAGTAAT